TTCGTATGGATGAGAGGCTGGTTTGGTGAAAAAATTTGTGAATTTAGGCCAGGGTTTGACTTCGTGTGGACGGGGCCCTAGACTTTCTGATTGTTTGAATTAACCTATGAAACATAATATTGTCCCTAAAAATGATCTAATAAAATTTCCACCTCTAGTCAAGCAGACATGCTTTCCATAATCAGGACAAAAGTAGTGTTGGAACAAAGACAAAACCTTAAAATGCCAGAAATAGTGTTTCAGAGAGTCTAAATTTCAAAATTTTTTACACCGTTCAAAGCCTAAAGATGTGATACACCAAGGTGACACCCCATGAAATATTCCTAGTTAAAAGCCTGTTGAGGCCTAATAGCAGCTGTATAACATAGAGATAGACTGATACATTGGCCGGCCGATATCGTCTGATATTAGCACTTTGTCGTGTATCGTGTCGGCTGATATGGGCATCAGAATTGGCCTTTTTTTAAATCCATTTTCCCAAATGTGGATCCAGAGATTTAAGAAGCGTTGAGATAAGATACATTTTCTTCACCATGCAGCTGCGACCACAGCTACAGCAGCATGGTGGTTTTTCCTTCACACTGTTGCACGAATCCTACCGAACATCTTCTGTGTTTTGCTGTGTTTTAGGGCGTTAACCGCAGACTTCATTCACATTTAGGGATTTATTTTCAGCCACGTTGTGTCCAGCTGAGTGCTGATCTGTACTTTAAGAAGAAAAGCAGTGACTCATTGCTCTCTTTCTCCGTGTTCCTGCTTAAACTGGAGGATATTCTGATCATGGCCGTGACTCAGTGGATGAAAGGGTCTGCGGTTCTGAGCTGATGGATATAAAGTGGAGTTAGGTGGCTTTTAAAGGTCTACACACCCATATGAAAATAAAATGTTATTTAGAAATGCTAATTATTGATTAATAAATTAATCTTAGGTAAATAGATTTTAATGAGTATTAATTGATAAACGGCCATTGTCTTAAAAGCAATAGAATCCTTCCATAACCTGACATTTTTTTCTTTTTTTTTTTTTTTTTTTAACAATTTGCTGAATTAAAAGAAATAATACATAGTTGGCTTTTAAACATTTATTGTTCCTGCTTTAATAAATACTGACTGAATAAAAAATTGCTTTCTTAAACATTATTAAACTTATTTAGAAGATATAATAAATCAGGAAACTTTTAGGTTACCGAATAAAATAAGATGCCTTATTTCCTGGACTATAGAGCCTCACTATAAGCCACGCCCACTACATTTTTCGAAAAAACTGGAAACCTACATCTATAAGCGACACCAGGCTATAAGGCGCTAATATCTAGTGAACTGTCTCCCTCCAAACCTGTAGGGGGAGCTCTACATATAGTCCCTGGAGTAGGGAAGAAGAAGAGTGCCAACTCCTGTTAGCTTGTTGGCTCACAGCAGTTAGAGCTTCAACTGAAAGATGGGGCTTCATCAGCTCTTTATTTCAGTTCTGCAGGAGTTGAGCTCAGTCTCTTCATTGGTTCTGCAGCTTTAATGCGGCTAATAAATGTCAAAATCTGTGAATTTTGGACATTTGCTCTCCGTCGTGCCTGCTGCTAGCATGTTCTTGTGCTAAATGAAAATTAGCTCCTTATTCTTTCATTTCCAACTTTGACTTCCCCCTCTGGCGGTTAGGAAAAATCCACAGAAAAGCTGCACTTTCTTATAAACCACGTGATTCAAAGCGTGGGAAAAAGTAGCGGCTTATAATTCAGAAAATACGTTATATCAGACAATAGGATCCCAGTTTTTATCTGCTAAATATTTTTTATTTCACAACACATAGAAAATGCTCTAATGTTTACAGATGAATTTAACAGTTTTAATTAATTTTTTTTTAGAAAACAGTAGTTTTAACTTAAATTAAGTCAAAAATATGTAAAATTACTAAATTATAAATGTATATTGACCTCATAAGAAATAGAATTTTTATTGAACCTAATTGAAAAGAAGTTTCATTTTATGCAGCTCTCTTTATATATTTGAATCTCTTGCCCTGTTATTTATTTCATGCTTTTCTGTGCCCCCATGAAAACCCGCTGCCCCCCTCCTGGCCCCCTGGTACATTTGGTCTAGATCCGCCACTGTTCCTCACCTATAATAGACGTGGATATACTTTAGCATATTCTGCTGTAAAATTAGTCCTATTTTTTCGTTATTTACTCGAGGATTCAACCTCTGCCGTTTCACAGGATGCACAGCTTTGAGTGGTAACTAGGTGACTGCCAGACAGTAACCCAGAGAAACTTATCAGACTGATCCAATCAGCTCTCTGATAACCAGTCGCCTCGACCGCTCGTTGAACAGAGCATTGCTTCTGACAGATACGCTGTACAGGTTTCACCAACAACCTCCTCCCCACACCCCGCTCTCTCTTGTAGTTCTAATCCACACATGGTGCACAAATTATTGTATTGCCTGCCCGCTCTCACTTGCATTAAAAAAACACCATGTCGCATAGTCTAAAATCCGGGATAATTTATCCGACTCAAGGACATCTGTGAACAACTATTGGTATCAGGGAGACTCCCGGAACTTCCAGGAGACTTGGGATGTCTGTTATATAGCATTTGTAAAAGTCTTTTAATTTCCAACAAACATTGATGTGGAGCTATCATTAACAGACAAGGTATGTCAGATTGTTTTCTACATTGTTTTAATGAAATAGTCTCTAACTGTGATGTAGCTCTATGTTTTTAGTCTTATCCACTAATCAGTGTATGAAAAGACATTGTCATGTTAGCATAGCTTTTAAACAGGTGGTTCTGTTTCCCCTCAGAGGTTAAAATGTGGCTCCATGAAGGTCAATAACTCATAAAGACTTCTTCATCTACCATGCTAACTGCTAGCATTTCTTCTTCTATCCTGATCCAAACATTTAGCGTAATTTCCTCCACTTTTCTACCATCCTCTCCTTATGATCCCAGCAGAGGAGTTCTGCTGCTCCTCTGTGCAGCACCGCTAAACGGGCCCATTTAGGAGAACTGAAGGAGTTTATCCAGAGTTTAGATTGACTATCAGAACCATAGAAAGTTCATTCTGGATCCTTGGATCCATCAAACAGTGGAAATAATCTGGATCGGACTCTGGATCAGGCTTTTAGCTAGCAATGTGTACGGGCGTACATTCTTCGCCCTTTACTAAAAATATTAGGAATTGTACGCCCTGTTTTTCGGATGTACGGTTTTGGTACGCTGTAATTTTCCCTCCTGAATATGGTGGAATATCTAAAGTCCCTCCGGACAACCTCATTGGAAGCAAAAAGCACACTGCTATATCTGCAGCAAATGTCAAACAGATGCCACAATTATTTCTTTGAGATAATTGGAGTCTTTATTTCCAAAAGATGGATAAATGGATGTGTTTTGTGGATAACAGTGTGCTTATTTTGCCCTTTGGACATGTACAGCTGGAACAGCTGGTGGTTCAGCGCAACATCAGCTTACATGTACTAAATGTACTAAGATGCATGAAAATGTGATAATCAGGTTTCAGATTAGTTTCAGTGTCAGCTGGACTCTTAACAGAGTAGATAGACAGAAATGAAAGCAGTCCAAGGTGTAAACCTTATGAAATATTCCTAGTTAAAAGCCTGACTGGATAATTCATGGCTCTGCTTTAGCATCAGTTATTTTGCAAATAGTGATGTTCCGCTTAAGAATGATCAGCTTTGCCTTCTGGTGGACAACCCTGACATTACAATCCTGAAGAGAATTTCTTAGTGGATATGATCAGTTGATCGGATGGAACAAACTTTAAACTAATAAACCATTAATGAATAATCATGAGCAAAAAGCTCTGAGAGAGTCATCAGGATCTCTGGAGGGAGCCACCAGAGATGTAGAAGATCTGGGAATGTCCCCCTCCAATTAGGGATGTCCCGATAGCAGCTGTGTATCCCTACATTCAATATTGATATCGGAAATCAGTTTGATATCAGCCACAAAAAAGACAAATACCAGGTTTTATCAGCCTACATCTAAAATCATTGATAACAGTAGCTGATAGAAACACTCTGGTTCTGTTCAGGTTCTGTAACCTGCTGGTTCCTGATAAATGGGTCAGTTGTTGTCAGGCCTGTTGACTATGTTTCTCAGAGTAAAATCACTGCATTAAACCTCTAATATTTCTCACACACACACACACACACACACACACACAAAAAACAAGAAATAAAGTTGCCTGATTTGTGCCGATATCGGTCAATAATCAGTGCTGCAATATCTGTATCGTGAGAGAAATAAGTTATCAGGGTAAGGAGCTGTTCCTCAAAAACCTCTCTGGTAAAGATGCTGCTGCTCTAAATCTGAAAAGTCCTTTTTTATTATCAGGATTATAACTAGGCCTGATTGGCTGATGAAACCTTCTTATCTACTAGTGCGGAGCTCTGAAATTCAGCCATTGTCAAAATTTCAAACATATCATTTTTACCTGAGAGCGTCACAATTACTGTAGTTAAAACGTTTTTTGTTTTTTCGCAGATATTTTTCTTTTTTCCCAATAAAATAAGATCTATTGTATAACTGGTCTAAATCAGAAATCAGCATGACAGGGCTTTTAATGATCGGCCAGAAAGCCATTTTCAGTCGTAAATAGTTTTTAAGGTCTTGTAGATCATAAACATCTAGATAGGAAATCACCATCTGTTTCTTTTCCTCTCTAAAGGACAATTTAAGCATAATTTAAAGCTTAAATATTTGTAGATAAACTGAAGCATAGAGAGTAGACAGATTTTTGTTTTAACATGACAAATCAGCTTCTCCGTAAAAGCTTTGTCTGTTTTTTGTTTCATGAGATGATAAATGTGGGTACTGATGTAAAACCAGGTTTGTCCAGGTATAAATAGTTGCCGACTAACCTCACCTCAGACCTGATTTATTCAGTGAATCATATCAGGAAGGTGTTTCAATCAGACGCCTGTGTTTTAGCCTTGCTAAGAAGTGCCTGAATGGTGGATGTGCCAAACGCCGTAGCAGTTGGCAGCTGATTTTGAGCCCATATGTGCAGCAGAGAGCAGGCCGGCTGCTCTGATACCGATTCAGTCCCTTAAGAATTAGATCAGGGCGACCTTGTTAATAATTCATAGAGAGCCGGACAGAGAGGTGGTGGAAAGGTAACAGATTCAGCTAAATTTAGCTGTATTCACATCAGCTGCTGGTTTAAAGCCAAACTGAGATTTAAAAAAAAATGAATCGGTAAGGGACTGTTAGCTGCATTTTGGCCATAAAACGAGGACTCTAGTGATTCTTCTCATCCATGAGTCAGATGTTTCTCTGCTGATTTGTTCTGGTTCTGTATCTGCTGTGTTTTACAGGCCTGCTGGTGGGAACTCTGGATACGGTGCTGGATTCCACGTCCAAAGTGGCTCCATACCGCATCCTGCACCACACTCCGGACTCCCAGGTCTACTGGTCCATAGCCTGCGGTGCGTGGCGGGTTCACCTGGTTCTAACATCTTTAGAATCCGCTCTAACTGTTTAAAACCAGAAGTAAAGTAATGAAGTGAAGGCGTCTTTTGTTTTTTCTGCTGCTCATCCAGGGGTCACCAAGGAGGAGATCGGGCAGCACTGGGACTGGCTGCAGCAGAACATCATGAGGACTCTCTCTGTTTTTGACTCCACTGAAGATGTCACCAGCTTCGTCCAGGGGAAGATCAGAGTAAGGCCTATGGTGGTGCAGAACAAAAGTTTTAATTCTACTTTTAAAAAAAACAAACAGAAATAACTGCTTTCTAAATGTTGAGTGTCCAAAGTTACCATGCCTGTTTTATGTGATAAGTTATCCTTTTTTCAGCACCAGTCTGATTAAAGCAGTAAACTAGTTTACCTTCCTCTAGATTGTCCAAATGACATCTATTATCATACGTTTCATTTTGGTTTTTTTTGTTTAGTTTTTTTTTTTTGTTTTGTTTAATAATTTCTCTTCCTAGTTTTCATTTGTAAACAGTTTTCTAATCATTTGACTTTAGGGCCTTATCGCTGAAGAGGGGAAGTCCTCCCTAGTGCTGGAGGATGATCCAGAGAAGTTCAGAGAAGCTCTCCTGAGGTTTGAGAAGTGGTTCGAGCTGCCCCCCCAGGAGAAACTGGTCACCTATTATTCCTGCAGCTACTGGAGAGGCAAAGTGCCGTGCCAGGGATGGCTCTACCTCAGCACTAACTTCCTGTGCTTCTACTCCTACTTTCTGGGATCTGAAGGTGAGCAACGTCTGCGTCGATGAGAGCAGAAATCTACTGTCGCTGCTCGCAGCTCTGCTTTCCTGAAGGGGCAGGGAGTTATTATAGCTAAGCCGCACCATGGGCTTAAAAAGGTGTGAGGACTGTTGGCAAGGGATGAACTGTGGCAGACGGATGTGAAAACATTTAATTTAAGAAAAGGCAAGAGCAGTTCCATAGGACAGATGAGAGTAGGTGTGTTTCCATCAGCTTTTTTAACGTATCAGATCAGAAAAGCTTGATGGAAATGGCAAAATAAAAATAAAAACTCTCTCAAATCCACAAAAAGGTATTGTCGCCCACTTGAGGTGGTTTTGGGGTTTTGCAAAAAAGGTTCGATGTGTAAAACAGGAGATGGATAAACATGGTCGTCTCGCTAACAACCAGCATCTGGCTATAAAAGCTGGTCTAACCCTTCGCTGGCAGCTGCATGGCCCCTGTCCTTTGATGTCACCAGTGTGACAGAAATCAGGAAAGTAAACAATGTAGAGCAACATGGAAGTAAGCCAGGGCATAGTCAGTGTGCTTTATTGTTTGGCTCTATAATCTGTCTGAACCCCTCTCACCAGAGCTGCTCCATGTTTATCAAATGTAAACAGAGTTCTTTCTACTTGTTAGATCAGAAGCAACCGGCACGATGTGTTGACGTCCGTACGTTGCGTTCAATGGTATCAAGTAATTTAGCAGGTCAACCCAGCTCTGGTGTTCCCACAGCATGCCGATCAGAGCAGGTCGATTTTAATGCTTGCCGCCTGCTGAGTCGTTTGACCTGAGTAGACTGTATGTCTGTTTTTGTCTTCTTGAACCCCAGTCAGCCCTTAGCAGATGGCCGCTACAAGTATGCTTGGAGTGAGGGATTGACTTCGAGTCAATGAGTCGATGCAATCAACTGGTTTTCCTTAGATAGAAAACTTTGAATCAGTTTGACTGTATGATCTGGTTTACTTATAAAGTGCCTTGAGATGACGTGCTGTGAATTGGTACCAAAAAAAAAATGAATTGAAACTGAATAAACATGTGTCAATGAGCTGCTGCCATTGCTACTAAAAGGTAATTTGTCCCGGCTTTAAACTTGCTTTTTGGCCATTATGAAAGGGTTAATAATGACATGTTAACCTACTAAAAAGTTCCCTGATAGCAATGCATTCATTAAAATTTTCCTCCATTACTGATCTGGGGTCAGTGCAGCCTCTACTTCCTGTTTATTACAGCCATGATGATGTAATGTGGTCAAAATTATGCTTTTTTTTCTTGGTTAACTAATTTTAAACCAAATTGAAACATCGCAAATTCACATTCCTTTTTTTCAAACGTTTAAAAGTTTGCTTAAAATTAGCATTTTACAGCTACTAAGGAAAAAAAAAAAAAATTATTCTGTATCCTCCGAGCTTATAAGTAACTTCACAGGTACCTTAATTTACACTAAAACAGAAAGTCGGGAGTGCAGGTGGCGGAAACAGGAGATAGTGGGCACTCCTCCATGCAGGACCATGGATTGGTCCTGAAACCAAATCTTTAAAGGTATTTAAGAGGATTTTTTACCAATCAAAAAACAAAGTTAGTTCAATTGAAAAGTTGCTTTAAACAAAAAAGACTGGACTTCTATCAAATAAAACATTTTCAATCAAAGAAAAGCAGTGTTCAAATGTTTTTTTTTGAGTTTCAAATATGTTTTTGCATTCAAATACTTTTTTTCTTTGATTGAGAAGTTTTTTGTTCATTGAAGTGAAGTTTTTAATTCAAAATATACTTTTTGATTGAAGCAACCTTTTTTGATCAACTGAAACAGAAAAAAATCTACCTTCATAGTCTTTTGGTGTGTTTAAACCTTTAATAAGATCCCAGTAACCAAACAGGAAACAAAGGAAAAACACACAATACTAAATAAAATGGATAATAAAAAAATTTTGGTTGTGTGTTGGGAAACTTGAGATACATCAAGTATATTCGATATATCGTCCACCCCTAGTTCAGCGACGATGCATCTATAAGCCTGTGGCCAATTTTCCTGAATTTACTTTGGGTTGGAAGTTCCCGCGCTGTTCCGATGGGATGTCAAGCACGTCCATGTTAAATGGGTCAGATCTAGCAAACAATCGAAACATTATATTTAAGATGGATTATGTGGATATTAAGAAGCGACCAACATTTAACTCAACATAGACACCAATGGCAACTCTAGGTAAGGGAAAAAAAAAACTATATAAGTTATGTAGTTCTGTGTTTTGGCCACAGGCGGCAGCATTATTGGAAAACTCTGTAGTGTCTGTTTAGGATCATGATGTCTTTCCCTGTTTTCAAACCGCTCTGCAGTGAAACTGATCATCTCCTGGGATGAGATCTGGCGGCTGGAGAAGACCTCTAATGTGATCCTGACTGAAAGCATCCATGTCCTGGCTCATGGGGACGACCACTACTTCTCCATGCTGCTGCATCTCAGTGAGACGTTTGTCATCATGGAGCAGCTCGCCAGCTACTCCATCAAGCGCCTCTTCGATAAGGAGGCGTTCCAGGGAGAGCCGTCTCTCTGTGACCCCCTACAGATTACAAAGAGGTAATCTGATGACCTCCATTAGGTGTGTAACCCGGAGCAGCGAGTCATTTTCCTCACGGTGCTTCTTCTGTGCCTGGTTTTCCCTCAGAGGCCTTGAAGCTCACGCTAAAAGCGAGCAGTTCCGCTCATTCTTCAGGCTTCCCAAAGAGGAGAACCTGTTGGAAGTACACGAGAGCTTCCTGTGGGTCCCATTCAGCCATTTCAACACTCTGGGCAAAATCTGCCTGTCAGAGAACTACATTTGTTTCGCCAGTCAGGATGGCAGCCAGTGCCACATCATCATCCCAATGCGGGAGGTAAAGATGCATCTCTAAACCAGTCAGAACACCCAAACAAAGTCAGAGACCCATTCGCCAACCATCCTGTCTGCCCCCCACTGCAGGTCATTAACGTCGAGAAGCCCGACGCCACCAGCCGGGCTCTGACAGTCTGCGTGCGCGGCAAGAGGGCGCTACGTTTCTCTGAGGTCAGGGACTTCCAGCGGCTCGCCAACACGATCCGCAGCAGGTGTGGGATCAGCGCCAGCCCGCAGCACTCAGCTTCATCTGAGGTAATGGGAGGGCTCGCTTAGGAACGACCGCTTTCCCATCTCGTATTCTGCAACCATTCCTGATGTACGTCTTTATCCCTAAGGCCATACGGGGAGAGTGCCAGTCGCTCATAAATCACTTTGAGGACAATCCGGAGGACGTGACCCTGATGGTGGGACAGAAGGACAACAGCAAAGCCGTGAGCACCGAGGCCCTCATGACTGTTTTTCATCCTCAAGACGTCGAGAACCTCGATCCTAAAATGGTAAGCAGAAAAAATGCTAAGTCATGTTTCAGGCAATCAGTTTAAACTAAAGCAGGAGGGGTATGGAGTGAACTATGTTCCATTATTGCTTCAAGCAAAATGCATGTTTTGTAAATTGAAATTAAATCCAGTTTTATTTTTCAAAATGTTTTATTTATTTATTTTATATATATATATTTTTTCAAATGTATTAAACTAATTTTTAAAACATTTCTAGTCTTAGTTTTTTTTGTGCTGCATTCTTTTAAAATGGTTTTAGATATGTGTACAATCAGATTTTTTGTATTTGGGTTGTGGTGGCCTAGTGGTTAGAGCATAGGGCTTGGAATCCTGTGGTTCTGAGTTCAAGCCCCTCTCCCACAGATTGCCACTCTGGGTCCCTAAGCAAAACCTTTAACCCCACACTGCTCCCTGGGTGCCGCACAATGGCATCCCACTGCTCCCCAAGGGGATGGGTTAAATGCAGAGTTTGTTTCGTTGCTCTGTACTTGTAACTCTAACCACTAGGCCGCCACTCCTGATATACCAACTTTAATAATTTAAAGTTGTGTGTCTGATTAAGTTTTATTTATTTATTTATTTTTTTTGGTTAATGTTTTTTTATAGTGCAAAGATAGAACCGTTTATTAAAAGCCCCACACCTCCCAGATGTAGTTTACGTAGAAACATCTTTGTTGTTCTGTCTGTTCAACAGCTGAAAGAGAAGATGAAGGAGCAGTCCTGGAACATCCATTTCTCTGAATATGGACGCGGAACAAGCATGTTTTTCACCAGGAAAACGCGAGACCTGATCGTCCGAGGCGTTCCTGAATCCCTGAGGGGGGAGCTCTGGATGCTGTTTTCAGGTAATTGTCCTCGTCTGCTGCTGGTGTATGGTCGCCATCAGATGCTTTGAGCTGAAGTGGTTCCTCTGCAGGAGCTGTCAACGACATGGCCACCCACCCAGGCTATTACGGCGAGCTGGTGGAGCAGTCTCTGGGAACAAGCACTTTGGCTACGGACGAGATAGAAAGAGACCTGCATCGCTCGCTCCCGGAGCATCCGGCGTTCCAGAGCGACACAGGGATCTCTGCTCTGCGTAGAGTTCTCACTGCCTACGCCTACAGGAACCCAAAGATCGGGTACTGCCAGGTACCGGCCCAGGCTGAATTAGAGATGTTAATCATTAGAAATGTCAACGAGATGGAAGCAGGAGATGAAGAGGTCACATTAGAGGTCACACTAGTTGATAAAGTGAAGGATTTTAGTGCCGCAGAAGCTGGGTTTGTTATAGTGAGGCTGATGACATCACACCAAGAGGTTTCTGTTTTCCTTTTAGACCCTTAATATTCAGAATATCTCTAGAGTTTTTTTTTTTTTGGTAATGGATAATTTTAATACATCTAAAGAAATACTCCAATATAAACTTTAAAAAATCTTTGGAAAACAACATTAAACTTTTTTAAATGGTGTATTTTTTTTCTCTAAACTTAAATTTTTGAGCATGATATGTTAATGGAAACAAATATCTGTATTTTTCTCTTCTTTTTATGCACTTCTTGTTACTGTGCACTATTTTATTTTTTTATATTTGTATCATGTTCAAAAAAAATAAATCTCATTTCATTTCATTTCAAATGGTTTAAAAAAAAAAATCTTGTAAACCTGCTGTTCCTGATCCAGTTGTCATGGTAACCTGTATGGAGAGTCAAGAAGGATGAAGGAATGAAAATAAATGAATATAAAAAAATAGGTGTAATTGTAAAATGAATTAAATAAATGCATTATTATAACATGTCTAATTAAATAGTTAAAGATACATTTTAAATAAGAACATAAAAAATTAATTCATTAAGTATCCATTATCTTGCTCTGTATTTATTCATTCCATGACATCTGTGCATCAGGTAACATGAAATAAATTAAACTGTGAACCTATCAGACTCAGTGGGCGGGACTAGAGTCACTTCCATGGAAATTCTGACATCTCATTGGCTGTTTATCACTCAGAAACATAACCTCTTCTTCTTTTTTTTTTTTTTTCTTTTCTCTAAAGTTAAGTTTATATTTTCGCCAGTTTATCACCCATTTATTTATCAAGAGCATATTGACAGAGGAACTCCAGCCTTTATATCGATAGTTTAAAGCCCAAATGTAGTGGTTTGATTTTATATTTCATATTTAATTGTGCATTCAGTTGTTTAAGGATTTATTTAATAAATAAAAAGCACATTTATTCATTTTATACATTTACATCTCTTTGTTTTTTGGAATTAAATCTCATGTTTAACCTCCATATTAAAGAAATCATTAAAAGATCAAGTGTCTAAAGAATAGATATAAACTTATTAATTGTTAACAGTGGAGATTATGTCTTTTATTATTAATTATTTCATTTTACATCTAGGAATTTCCTGGTACATTTAATTGTTTCATGGCACATCTATTAGTTTTATTATTAATGTATTAAATTCCTGCTGTCTCCTCTAATCCTCCATAAACTGATGTTGTGGTTGAACTCTGCCGTTTGCCGCCTGTAGGCCATGAACATCCTCACCTCCGTCCTGCTGCTGTACGCTAAAGAAGAGGAGGCCTTCTGGCTGCTGGTGGCCGTCTGCGAGAGGATGCTTCCCGACTACTTCAACCGACGGATCATTGGTGAAGCTGGAAGCGGTGGATTCTCAGCCTCTGCCTGCCGTCTCTTTCTGGTCCACTGATCGTTTCCGCTTTTGTTTCTGTCCAGGTGCTCTGGTTGACCAGGCTGTGTTCGAGGACCTGATCAGAGAGAACCTCCCGCAGCTGGTGGAACACATGACGGATCTGAGCTTCTTCTCGTCTGTGTCCTTGTCCTGGTTCCTCACTCTTTTCATCAGCGTCCTGCCCATTGAGAGTGCCGTCAACGTGGTGGACTGCTTCTTCTACGACGGCATCAAGGCCATCCTGCAGCTCGGCCTCGCCGTGCTGGACTACAACATGGAGGCACTCATCACCTGCAGTGATGACGCCGAAGCCGTCACCATTCTCAGCAGGTCCGTACTGTTCGTTATGTCTGACGATTACTGGTGGACCCAAAAGCAGACACAGATTCTAAAAGCAGTGTTAACAGTGTAAAAAAATAAAAAGAGAAGATTTATCCAAACTTAATTTAAGATTAAATAAACTCTTTGATTTTATACCCTAAGAATATTAACTGTATACATATGCTTACTGCCATTTTGCATTAATATTAATTTCTCTAGCCACTATGAAAATGTTTTATAATATGTTTGCGGTGATTTAATGGATTTAGCATTAATCAGTAAAAATCAAAACAATAAATTTTGTTGCGATCACTGAGTCCAGGACCAGCAATTTTTAAATGGCCAAAAATAGTAGCACCTTACTCCTGACATTTTCTGGCACTGATGTCATGGTGTTGTAAACCGAGCGCCATTCTCCTCGCTTTACAAGCAGAATCAATGGGAACCACAAGACAGATCTGCAAACAACAACAATTATTTAAGATTTAAAGAGGACTTCACCATTGAAATCCACAAGAGCTATAGTTAAAGTGGCAATGCCCACGTGCATGGCAGTTGTGTGTTGTAATACATCTGGTTAAAAAGAAAATTTTGAAAAATTAGTTATTTCCCCTTTCCGATTCATGATCCTCCAAGCACGGGTTCATCGTTGGATTGCCAACTTGAAGAGGGAGGATTTGCCATCGAACTTCTGGCCAGAGAAATTTATGTAATATTTAGCCAACATTTCGAAGAAGAATATTTTCAAGATGACTTGGATAATAACACGTTGTGGCAAACACCAGATACAGCACTGGGACTTGCTCAACAGCCGATACCACACCGTAACGTCACTAACCGTTAGGAGGCAGTAGTGTTCTTTGACAAACATGGATGTCTCCAGTAAAGTGCATTAAAATTTAAATTACTCTTAATTAAAAACACATGATTTATTGAACGATATGTAATAATTTCATATTTAAAGTATTTTCAGAATTTTGAATTCTGAATTTGACCAGACTTTTCCTTTAAGCGCTGAATATGTGTCTCACTGCGCTCTTGGACTGGTGCCTGCACGCTCAAATTAATGGCACAGTTGTTACATCATAGATTAGCACAGCAGATTAACGTTAGTCCAGTCAAAAAATACAAAATCAGGGTTAAAAATCTAATGCAGCTCTACCGAACAGACAGAATTGTCTGGCAGCATGGTGCTGAGACAACCAGGCGTTTCAAACAGAGGGTTGATGAGCTGATGTAATGCAGGTGTCTCAGTCTACAGCACCACAGGGCAACAAGCCACGTCCCCTGCTAAAACTCTGCTCTACTGAAAAGCAAAAGAGCAAGATCCACAAACCAAACCACAACACAGGCTCCACTGAAGCATGGTTTCCTCAGTGAAAGCCTCCATGGGTGATGAGTTTCCGATGGTGTTCCTTCAGGTTCTTCGACAGTGTGACGAACAGAGACAGCCCGCTGCCTCCAACAGTGCAGCAGGCATCTTCAGGCAGCAATGACAAAGCGCGTCACGTCAGTGTGGACATCAGCGAGCTGATCCGGGAAGCCTATGAGGTACCGTACAATGTCCCAGTTTGATCTGCAGCTTCTGGTTCCGGCGTGACGAGTCCGACTTGTCCTTTCGGTAGAAATATGGACATTTTCGATCTGAGGAGGTGGAGAGTTCACGGAGGAGAAACAAGCTGCACGTGATTCAGACTCTGGAAGACACGACCAAGCAGAACGTGGTGAGTGAAATCAAAGTTTGCAGCTTCATCGGATCATTAAGGCGGCAGTCATGGGTTTGGTTTCTGCTTTCAGATCCGAGTCGTGTCCCAGGAGGTCCAGTTCAGCGGCCCCCAGCTTGACGAGCTTTATAACCTGTTCAAAGTGAGTCAATGCTGTGATGCAGCGCCCCACCTCCCCAGGAGAATCTGATTTAATCCTCAGATCACGCTTGCTTTCAGAGGCAGCATTTCCTCAGCTGCTACTGGACCATGGAGAGTCCTGCTCTGCTGCACCATGACCCCAGCCTGGCCTACCTGGAGCAGTACCAGCTGGGGTTCCAGCAGTTCAGTGAGCTCTTCTCCCTCCTGGAGCCCTGGGCCTTCTGCCCGTCCAGGAGCACCCTCTCCCTCTGGGTCTTCCGCCTCATCGACGAGAACCAGGACGGGCTTGTCAACTTTAAGGAGTTCTGCTCTGCTCTGGGTGGGTCCTTCGTGTTTTCCCATCATCAACACTCCTTCCTGACTGTACCGTAACGACTTTGTTTCCACAGATATCTTATATGGCGGATCTTTCACAAATAAGCTGAAATTTCTCTTCAAGCTCCACCTCCCACCAGGTCAGTGATAATCAACCAGTCACTCACATTTTCTTCAGGGCCTCTCCTGACCAACTAGCCTAAAGCTATTCAGGTTTTATCACTAATCACAAACTGTATTTCTGTTGCCATTAGGAAAAGCTCAAAGTTTTACGAGATTTCATCAGAAGGAAAGAACATTAAACAGAAATTTTATTTGCATTACTCGGCATTGAAACTGTTCCCAAATATCGTGAAAAAGTAATTTAATACCATTTGATCCCATCTGATGGATGGTTGATGTAGTTAAATTCAGAATGATCCTGGAAGGATGCAGCTGGAGGCTTCCAGGCATTTTAGGATGAAGGTTCACTTCACTGCAGGACAACGTCCTGATCGTACGGATAGAGGAATATGGAGCTTAATTAGGACCATAAAAATAGTTTAAACTGAAGACAAGTCTTTAAACTCCTTTCAGTTCTTTTTTGTTTGTCTTTTCAGTTTCAAATCTTTTTTGTGACTGAGCCAGAATAATTAAACTATCATTGCTTTTGGGTTTCAAATCTCTTGTTTATGTTGTAATTTTTTTGTTTTTTTTTGTTAAAAAATGCTTTTTTTCCTTTTCTTTTTTTCAAATCTTAATAAGTTTAAACAATTTTCTTAAGTTTCAGAAATTATTATTTTTTTCTCTTGTTTCAAATCATTTTTAGTTTAAAATATTAATTTGTTTAAAAAACAAATAGTTTTAAATAGTTTTATATCTTTATTTAAATCTTATTTAATCTTTATTTAAATCTTATTTTTTCCACTTCAAATCTTTTTTATTTTCACCTTTTTTAGTTTGAAATTTTTACGTTTTAAAACTACTTTTGAGTTTAGATTTTTTTTTTAAAGAAGTTTTTGAACAAACTTTTTGGCCTCACCTTAGCTCCATAGAGGGAAACGGTTTCTTATCCAGCAGATAGACTTGAGAGTATTGTTTAAAACTGAGGCTTTGTTTGGACAGAGATCTGTCCTGTAGATGTGTGAAGCTGGTAAAGGCCAATTTATAAAACACAAATTTACAATCTAAATCAGTTTTATTTCTGCTTCACAGTTTTCTCCCTCTGGTTCTGATCATCAGAAATATACATAAAAATGCTGAAGTTTGAAGATTTAAAAGTTTGAAGATTTAAGCAGCATAAGAAGTTTTTTAGGTTTAAGAACATCTCGCTAGTTTTCTAGTTTCACATTCCCTCATTTAAGAAAAATCTGTTTTTATTTGCACCATTCAGATTTTAAAACACGGAGCAGCTATAAAGCTTCACAACTAGCCGGGTTCTTTCAGGGCTGCAGAACCAATGAGTCGTTTTGAAAACAGAGTAATGATGTGTCACTGCCTGCTGGGGGTCCCCATGGCAACAAGGAGGGCCAATTGGCCCCGGGAAGGGTCCTCTAAAAACAGCACCATCAGTGACAGAGCTGCTCAGATTACAACAGACAGCTCAGCAGCAGCCGAGCCCTGACTCACTGGGTTCTGCCTGGTTCTGTTGGGCTCGGCTGGGATGATGAGCGTCAAGCTGCACAGCCTCATGGAGAGGACACAGCGCTTCAGCTCCAAGGACAGGTCACATCAGCGGTTTATCTAAATCCAGCGGGAATCAGTTTCTTCCCTGTTGGTGAGAGATTCTGCTGCAGACACTCCATCGATCCAGGAAATCAGATCATGTGCTCTTTGAGCAAAGGATCTCTCAGTCCTCTGGGTCTACTCATCACTCACATCCTGTCTTAGTACCAACATTTTTGTTCCTCTAGACTTCAGGGCTCAGCAAAAACTAAAGGTGTGAATCAATGCTGAGCCTCAGACGCTGTTAGATCTTCATTAGATCAGTAAACTAGCAGCAGACACAGAGGAAGGGTCAAAGTAAAGCACAGATCTCAGGCTGTGCTGCTAACGCTGCAGCCAGGCATCAAGTCAAGGAAAACCACTTTGCTCTGCTTTTTGAGATAATTGTTTAATTGATGCATGAAAGCAGCACGGATGATTGCACCCTCATGTGGTCATAAGTGGGCAGCGATCTGAAGTACAACACAGCTGAGATTGTTTTAGTAAATAATTCATCTGTCAGTTTTCAACTAATGGATTCATCTAAAAATAAATAATTTTATTAAATGAACATTTCTGAACAAAAATTATTTGGAACTCAAAAAGCTTATTGAAAAAAAGCTTTTTGCACATTTAATATGACAAAAGTGTAAAAAAATATGAGTTGGAATATCATGAAAAAGCTGATTTTTTTCATTCATTCCATTCAAAAAATGAAATGTGAAAACTAGATTTATTTATTACACACAGACAAGTATAAATGACAACTGATAAAAACACCAAATTAACTATCTCAGAAAATTAGAATTTTACTGCAGACCAACACAAACAAGTGATTTCTATAAATGTTGGTCAACATGTAGAGTCGTCAGTACTTAGCTGGGGCTCTTTTTACCTGAATTATTGCAGCACCGCAGGTAGGATTGTTGGCATGGATGCTGCGATATGATAACGTGTCGCGATACTTGGGTCACAATACGATATTATCACGATATTGCAATATCACTATTGCAATATTTTTTCCCAGCTATCAAAAAGCTGGGAAAAACAAAAGAAAAGCTAGTTCTGTAATAGTTCATCAGAAGATATTGTTCATTTAGTTATTTTGGTTTTCATGGTGTTTGGGGTTTCAGTCAGTCCACATCTTCCACTGGGACTGCCTCAGCTACAGATATGGGGCTGCTCTGCACAGCTAAAGGGCTCCACAGCGCCATCTGCCAGAGTGGGGAAGCAGAGACAGCCCATTTTCCCTCATTGTTTTAGGTAAAAATGTTCACTTTTTGGCCCTCACTTTTTGGACTGGCGACCTGTCCAGGGTGTACCCCGCCTCTCGCCTGTAGACAGCTGGAGAT